GAGGGCGTCAGCAAGATGTCGGGCTCCTTCATCGCCGATCTGATTTCGTTTAAGATGTAATGTGTTGATAGTCTGTGATAAGTAAGAATGTTATAGATATCAAAAATGAGCATAGATCTTGTCTTACTTGATTGATCTTGAGGGCATCAGCAAGATGATGCGCTCCTTCGGCACCGATCTGATTGTATGAAAGATTTAGTGTAGTGATAGTCTATTATGAATGAAAACATTCCAGATATTATAGGTTAGGAGAAATCTTGCCTTACTTCATCGGTCTTTAAAGTATCGCAGATATAACGTGCTCCTTTGTAATCGATCTGGTTCTTCACAAGATTTAGTCTTTTGATTGTCTATAATAAAAAAGAATCTTGAAGATACAATACATCGGCAAACATTTTGTCTCACTTGGTTTTTCTTGAGGACATCAGTAATATAATGTAGTCTCTCAACACCGATTCGCGTGCGTTGAAGATTCACTTTTCTGATTATCTAAGATGAATAAAAATCATGTGTAGATGTCCTAGATGATTACAGGTATTGTCTCACTTGACTCGTCCTGAAAGCATCATGGAGATGATACGCGCGTTCAGCACTAACCCGATGGTTGTAAAGCATAAATGTAGCAATTGTCTATTATGAATGAAGATATGGTAGGTATGAAAGCACGACAGAGAACTTGTCTTACTTGATTAATGTTTAAAGCATCAGCAAGGTGATGCGCTCCCAGTGCGCTGATCGGATTAAATTGAAGATTCAGTGTGGTAATAACCTAGAATTAAGAAAAAATATTGTACACGGTGGTAAATAATATTATTCAAGGGGGGTAACGCTATAATTTCGAGTCGGAAATATGATGAATTTTATACCAAATGAAAGTCCGTGAAAAATGGGATTTATTGATGCTAAATAGTAAGACTTTGAAGGACTTTCGTATATCGAACGTTTAAACACAACGGAATTTTCTCTCAAAACAACCGTTAAAAACCATTTTTCATAAGTTTTAAGACATTGAAAACGAAAATTTTTCTATGAGAACGAAAGAAAAATGGTAACGATCACGATATACAACTATGACTCAGACAATAAGATGGTTCTTTTGCGTTCTGTTAAATATTTTTCTCCACGTGATACTAGTTATTTCAAAACTTTTTTCGTTATCAGTCTGCCTGAAAGTTATAGTCGACAGAAATTTCAGTGTTTTTTTGTTTATTATTTCAAATAGCTGGTGTTTATGATACCGAACCACAAAGAATGATTGACAGAATTAAATGCATTACTTTCCACGAAGCTCGCGATGCTGGTGCAACATTTATAAATAGATAATGGATTGCCGACAAAATTCACCGTACGACTCGATTTGTCTCAGAATAGTGGGGAAAATCGTGTGACCAATGCTTGGGTGATTATTCAAATGCTGGTCCTAAATTCAAGTTGTCAAGAGTTGCTCAGGACATTATTCGTGAAGCAAGTGGTCGGCAAGAGGAAAGCGCTTCTGTTGTGGCGAAAGAGATTGCAGAGAAGCAAAAAGAATATGTTACTCGACAAACAGTTAATAACTACCGTCATAGGGAAGGATTAAAGCCTTTTCATGTTATTCCAAGACCGTTAAAATCTGAAACTCATATATCAGATCGATTATGGCTTTGTGATTGGTTAAAAGATTGGACTGAAGGAGATTTTCTTCATCTGGCGCCATCGGATGAATTTTATGTTTGGACTGTTCGCAGACCAAATTATCAAAATGATAGAGTTTGGGCAAAAAGTGTTGAAGATATTCAAGACGATGAAAGGTATCGCGAAATGGTTAAAAACCAAGCGTGCATCGGCATTTTTATCATTTTCACCGCGAAAAAGTTGCATTGGGTGATTAAAGATGAAGGTGAATCTTGGACCGGTCAATATTTTTGTGACATCATTCTAATGCAACACGTATTTCCGTTCCTCAACGACGAAGCAAATGTAATTGATCTGGATAATGTGATATTTGTTCATGATAAAGCACCATGTATGCGAGCAAACATGACTCAACATCTGATTCGAGACAACAACGTCAAGTTTTGGGGCAATGATATTTGGTCTGGTAATTCGCCTGATCTCAATGTAGCGGAACGTATTGGATCAATAATCAAAGATGAAGTTGAAAAAAAAATGTTATCGGAAACTGGACATAATCGATATCGTGAAGACACACTAAAAAAGCACATTGCAAATGTCTTGACTGACATGGAAGAAGATATCGAATTGTTTGAAGTTCTTTTATGCTCGTATCTATCTCGACTTCGTGCAGTAAAGAACGTTAACGGTCGCCATACTGATTATTGATTGTACTCATTAAATAATAAGAAAATAAACTATTTTGCAACATATTGTTTAGCTCGAACATTTTTCGATAAACTGATTTTATAATATTTCATGTCGATAAAAATTCGTAACTTTTGATAAATCAATACACGAAAGTCCTTCAAAGTCGTACTATTTAGCATCACTAAATCCCATTTTTCATGGGCTTTCATTTGGTATAAAATTCATCATATTTCCGACCCGAAAGTATACCCTTACCCCCCTTCAATAATATTATTTACCACCGTGTAGACACGGCAGATTAGCAGAGGCCTTATTGTCTCACTGGATTGGTCTTTAGAGCATTGGCAAGATGACTTGCTCCTTCATCGCTGATCAGGTTGCCTTCAAGATGCAGTTTGGTAATAGTCTGTGATGAATAAAAATCGTTCAGATTAGTTAACATGAGTAAGGCCATTGGCTTACGTGATTAGTCTTGATAACATCAGCCAGATGACGTGCTCCTTCATCGCCGATCTGGTTATATGGAAGATGCAGTATGGTGATAGCCTGTGATGAATAAGGACATTTTAGATATAATAAGTCAGTAGAAGTCTTGCTTTACTTGATTAATCTTGAGTGCATCTGCAAGATAACGCACTCCTTCATCGCCAATCTGATTGGATTCAAGTTGCAGTGAAGTGATAGTCTATGGTGAATAAGAATGTTATTGATCCTATTGATAAGGAGAGATCTTGCCTGACTTGTTTAATATTTAAGACATGAGCAATATCACGTGCTCCTACTTCATTGATCTGGATGTTCCGAAGATGCAATTTAGTGGTTGCCTAATGATGAAAGAGTATGTTCTACATATGGTGAATGCGTAGAAACTTTTATCACTTCATTCGTTTTGGAGGCAACATGATAAAGATTGTGTCCTTCACGACTCATGTGAGTGCTTGACAGAGGTATATTCATGGTTGTCTACGATGAATAAGAAAAATGAATTTATGAAAGATGCGGAGAACTCTGATCTTACTTGACGGTGGATCAGAATATCGCCCAATGGACGTGCACCTTCATCACCGATGGGGTTGTTCTGAAGATCCAGCTTGGTGATTGTCTATTATGAATAACTAACTTGTAGATATAGTAGATGATAAGAAATCTTGGCCTACTTGATTGATCTCGAGTGCGTCAGCAAGATGACGTGCTCCTTCATCGCCGATCTGGTTGTATTGAAGACTTAATATGGTGACAGTCTATGATGGATGGGAATCTTGTAATTTAGTAAAGATGAATAGGTCTATGGCTTACATGGTTAGTCTTGAGAGCATCGGCAAGATGACGCGCTTCTTCATCGCCGATCTCGTTGCGTTGAAGATTTAGTGTGGTAATAGCCTATGATGAATGAGAAAATTTCAGTTACAATACGCCAGTAAAGGTCTTATTTTACTTGATTAATCTGGAGGGCAGCAGCAAGACGACGTACTCCTTCAGCGACGATCGGACAGGATTCCAAATGCAGCGAAGTAATAGTCTACGGTGAATGAGAATGTTGTAGATACGATAGATGATCAGAGATTTTGCCTTACTTGATTGATCATCAGAACATCCGCAAGACAATAGGCTACGTCATTCACAAGTTTATTCAGTGAAAAAATATGCAGTACTGTGATTGTCTATGACAAATGGGTGGGTCGTAGTTATGTTACAGAAGTTTAAGCTTGTTTATTACCCTGTTACGATATAACGAACGGAGAACACGCTCCTGATTGAGCTTATAATTTTCATAGCACGGTAATGATAAGGTGTCGAATGTCTAAACGAGATAAAATGGGCTGGTAAGTGCTTCTATAACGTGAAACAACATATTTTTTGATAGTTAATAAACTGCTAATTGAGCTACAGATGGGTGATATCGTCTATTATTCTTCAAGTTTTCTGTATTTGATGGAAAGATTATACAATTACACGCATAGGAATTTCACTTATAACTTGTCTCGATCATCTGGTATGACAGTGTAAAAGTAATGTTGAGTATGATTTTGATACTTCTAGCAACTCTGCATAGTTTTCTGTTACCAACGTGTTTGTTTCTCACCTCTTTTAACTACGAGAAAACATAGAGACTGAAAAAACTGGTATCTCAAGAAAACATTGTGAATTGCCTTCAAGGACGTTTTAGCGCGCAACAATAGTGACATATTTTATGAATAAAAAAGACGTGGCTATTAAAATGCATGTTACGAAGCTTACCAAATAACGATGGTATGTATGTATTATCGCGTTGAGCCGTGTGCAGACATCTTGAATCGAAGCAAAAATGTCCAGAGGACAAAGATGATCTAAGATGCGATAGACAAGCTCAACAGGTAGAGTGTGAAGTGTTGGTATGGTATTGTCAGCCATATTGGTATGATTTCTTTGATGTTGTATATGTGTGTATGCAATAATATGGATGTGTTTTTATATCGTAAAATGCATCTGTTTCTTTATGATGATGCAATGTCTGATGCAACCAAAATACCGAATGAGAAAACCATATTAGACAAATAACAAAATCATTTCTTTAGTCATTATTATTATGACGTAACGTCACTCGACATTACTCGATGAAATTGTTTCGTTCTTAATTTTTGTCTTTTTTTTTCTTGGTATTCTTTTCTTATTTGAATTGCAAGTGTACACCGTACGACTGAGCCAACACTGATCAAAGCATCGACAAACCAGTACAAATAACTGTCACAGAAAAATAACTCTCATGAAAACGATACGAAAAAAATCCAAGTAGTAAAATAACTTCGATACAATAGTTAATATAATAAGTTGAACAATGTATTTATTAAGGAGTGTAATAATTATTAAAAGTTGTGCTTTTATCGATATAATATTTGAATCCTGTACCTTTCATGCAAATATTATTTTCCATTTTGTCGAAGTCAGGATTGTGAGAAGTAAGAATTGCGAATAGAAGATTAAAACCATCTTGGAAGGAATTCGAGCGTACGATTGGATGTTCTATTGTAATAGATTCTAGCCCTCGGTGCTGATAGATACATTGCGAAATGAGTGTGGGCGTGGGTGTGGATGTGGTTGTGGCTGCGGGTGTGAGTGTGGGTGTGGGTGTGTGCGTGGCTGTGGGTGTGGGTATGGGTGTGAGTCTAGGTGTGGGTAGTAGTTTGGGGTCGAAAGGTGGATGTGACTCTTCTTTTTCATTCTATCTATGCATACCTATCCACACCCCACGCTCACACCCACACCCACACCCACACCCACGCCCACACTCATTTCGCAATGTCTCTATCAGCACCGCGGGCTAGAATGTATTACAA